GCTGATTCCAACTGAGAAGCAGATGAAAATTCAGACCAAATTCAGCTTTGAAAAGAATACAAAGAGTGTATCAGCTGGTTCCTAGCCGATGGATTTAATTTGAAAGCAGGCGTAATTAATCTGATAATTTGTCAAAAATTGAAGGTAGTTGACATTGCTTCAGGAACCATGAGCTTCTTCCTGCTACATATGGTCTGATTTGGGATTTTTTGCAGGCAGAATCTTTCTCTAAGTATGTTTTGTATGCTCTTTTCATCGTGCTTCTTGCGGCAACCTGTATAAACTATGGAAATGATGAAAGCCCAAATATGCATTTGTATTTTTCCTCCTTGGCTAGATGTGAATTGTGTGGATCATTGACTTCATGATCCTGAACTCAGGCCTATATTTCATATCAAATGGACATGATGCTGTGTCACAAGAATAATAACTTTAAAACACGATGCAAACAAATATTGAAGCTGTCTGTGAATATACACGTATTACGGTGCATTTCTTACAGGATGCTACAATTATGCTTCTCTTATCTGTACCTAAATAATATAGTGTTATTTGCTAGGTTAATAATCAGTCTTGGTCGAGCGTTCGTAGCGTGAGGACGTGTTGGAGGATACTCTCGAGGTCAGCTAAGTCGTGAGTTAGTTGTTACCTGGCTACTTTGTAGCAGTATTCATAAGTTTCTGTTGTAGCTGGGGCTCGCACGCACTTCGTCCTGATACGTGGACGATCGAATGTGTTGGTTCCTGGCCGCCGACCGTGATCCAGGTCGTCGGCTCGTGGTGAGTCCACAGCAGTTCGCTATACAGGCCAGCACGCAGTTCGGGGCTCACACTGCGGTTCACTGAGTTGACCGGCTGTGAGGGTCAGGTTGCGTGACTCGACACGCCACGTGTCGTCCGGCCAAAGGGTCCTGGCGCACTCACGCGCCCACGTGTTGTCCGGCCGAGGGTTCAAGACGGACTGCTGCGTACTGTCCGGCCGGAGGTTCAAGACGGACTGCTGCGTACTGTCTGGCCGGAGGTTCGAGGCGGACTGCTGGAAGGGCAGAGGTGAGGGCGTGAAGGGGCGAGAGGAGGTCCGCTATTACTACTCGGCGTAGTAACTCGGGGACTCTTCCCCTCTGCTCATCCATGGACACGAGGAGGACTCCACAGCACATTTGATCTTGGCCTTCTGCCCCTCTCTTTCAGCAGTACTTATTAACTCCCATTGAATAAAGAAGGCAACCCTTCTGAGGTATCCATGTTTGACGTTGCATCAAACCAATTAAAAAGTATTTCAAAATACTTTTTTTTGTTGTTGCAGAGAACTGTATTTCAAATATAGAATACAAATACATTTTGTGATATGTATTCAAATATAAAATACCTGAAATGTATTAAAATAGGTATTTTAAATACAACTGTTTTAAATACTGCCCACCTCTCGCAATATGAGACACGATGCAATTAGCTTCAGGCACAAACCTAAGAAACGCCTACGTACTCTTTCCCGGCCCATGCAACCTCATCTAAAACGTAAATAATCTCCTATCTCCCTGTAAATATGCTTATGTAGACTCAATTTGACCCGAATTTTTACACCGGTTGCGCTATCCGGATACGGCCTTCACCCACAGGAATTTTTTTTTTTTTTTTACTTTCAACTTCTGAGGATGGGTGTATAGTGCTCAGAGATCTTCCTTTCCCGTCGCACTCGACATGCACTCGGGAATAAGCGTTTAGCGTGGTTGGTTTTGAACCCTGGTTCCCTGTCACGGGAATCAAGCCCACTATCAACCGAGCCATTCGCTTGCCCCGGAATTCTTACGTTTCTCTTCCCGTCTTACTCCATCTCCAGTTTTAGTTCTGGGCTCTGCCGCATTGAAGAGCAGATTCACTGTTTTCAGATTGAATTCGCAATCCCCCCTATAATAAAGGACGGAGAAAACCACTTCCAGAGGATCCACATTATCAGATGGTCCACGAAACCACCTATGTGGAAGGTGTCACTATCTGTAATCGATGGACGCGCTCCTAGGGGTAGGTACGAATTCAATCTGAAAACAGTGCTCATCCTAACTGCGTTGATGCTGGGTCCCTCAGAGTCAATCTGGCAACACTAGTTACACTATGGCGATTTACATTGGAGAGTCGGCCGAGGCGGGGACTTGAGGTTTAATGGACACGAGACATACCCTTGACTTAATGATTGATGAGATTTATGCCCTTGGAAATGTATCATCGTCGTAGAACCTAATCTCAAAATTTAAGCTGGGATTTCAATTTAATATGCTCTGAAGTCCTCTTTGAGTAATGTTTAAGTTATCTAAGGTTGAGGTGGCCAGGCCACAACCATTGTGCAGTCGCCCTTTAACTTATGGCTGAACCTAGGCCCTGGTCCGCCATATGTATACCATAAGTTGCGTTAGGTCTAACAAAGTATGTATTGAGTATTCTACGTGTAATCATCAGTAAATTTATTTTGAGTTGAGCTTGTATTAAGGGCTGAGTCTTGTTTGTCTTGTGGAAGCTGTACCACCCCTAAATTTGATGAAAAGAAGCGAATATGGTTGAAGAATTTGTATGAACTCTCTGTTATTAGCAATTACTTCTACTTGCATACATAGATATTTGGCAAGTTTTTGTTACTTAAAATTTTAGTCCGACCTTTTGGAGTTGGGCCTGAAGGATTTTCTGCTCCTAGCATTGTATCTTTACTAAGCTTTCACATGCCTTTTGTTGTGATGCCCTAGGTCCCCTTCTGTCCACAAATCCAACTAACGTCACCAACACGGTAGTCGCCACTATATTGCTAGTTCAATTATTTTTTCCATACTACAGCAACGGATCTTTATTCCAATCATGGCCTAAGACACTTTGGCTTTACACGTGACAAACACGAATAGGCCGTTATCCCACACGCATGTACATGGACGGAGCGACCGCTTTTTCTCTTACGTCCATGGGTGGCGACTTCCGAGCGGGGATCCTTCGTATTCGCCATTCATGTTGCTTCCTTATGCTGGTCTTATTGCCTCGCGCTGGCCGGGCGCGAGGCATGTTGATTTGACATGTGAACCTCATTCCGATTAGCCTATGGAGTGAATGCAACGAGGTGGGATGGCCCCACTTTCAGAACAGTAATAACGCAAGTGTCACAGTACATTGTGAGTTTGGCGGCCTCCAAGCCCCCAAGGGGAGGTCGACAGAGAGTCGTGAAGTGTCAATGGCGACTTTGGGATACATGGCGACTACCGTGTAGTTGACGTTAGAACATTTATGCGTGTCGTTGTTGAGGGCTGACTAATGTAATCCCAATTAAGTTTGGGAATTCTGTTAAAACTGCTTATGTATTTTGAGTGGGTAGTGGAAGCTGCAGCTTGGTTCAGCTGAAATGAAAAGAAAATTAAATGATTAAAGGACAATTTGTAAATTCTCTTTGAAGCAGATCACTTGTAAGCTGTTGCTGTTGCTGTACAGAGCCTTATTCCTAAATCAATTGGTAGAAGTAGCTAGTATTTATGAGAACTCAGCAGATATAATGAAGTTGACACATGGAGTTGCTTCTGCTTTCTACTGATGAGTGATCCATATTCATGCAGGTATTATTTTTACAGTAGGGGCATTAGTAGTGTGCATAGTGGTGTGTGTAACGTATAATACCCTGTAGTTTTGCTCCCATATTTATACATTCATTCACTCTAAGTCCTACATCGGCTTTGTCATATGCTCCTACCTCATCAAATAGGCCTCAGCTTATGAGAGAGTGTAAGCCAATGAGGGGAGCTAGTCATGCATTATAACTAATCCCATGCTCTTGATCCTTTCACCCTTCCATCTTTTCCCTTTTCTATCATTCCTCCACTCTCTCTGCATGTTCTTTTCTCCCCATCTTGGTTTTGTGAGAGACATGAGGCATTTTGAAGTTTTGATATGACTTGATTCATCATCCCCCGTCAACAAGAATTTCGCCTAGAATTTCTGCACAATCACAACTTTGTCAGCAGCTGTCATGTTTCCTGATACTGTAATGCCATCTATTGCCTGTTTAAAACAAAATTGCTATGTTGTTCACAGTCAAAGTCCATTTTACCTTGCATCATAGTTTGTGCTGCTTTTCTGGAGAAAAAAAAATTGCAAAGATTTTTCAGACATGCCTTGTACCAATGGCAGGATTTGCCCAGCTGAGTGTGAGTTGAAGACACTGTTTCAGTGAAGGAAAAGACAAAGAAAAATAAGACAAGCTCATTACAGGTTAAGTCATGCTTTGAGAAGAATGAGTTGCAATCAACAGGTTTGAAAAAAACAAACAATAGAGACTAATTCATAACCCAAGAGTTTTAGATCCAATAGAAAGAAAAGCAGATCTGTTTAGATGTGGTTAGTGAAGTGACCTGGTTTATGCATGGAGGTATTATCTTTAGTTCATGAATTCTACACAGGAATGGTTCATGAAGATATTTAATGCAAGCATATATATAAGAGGAAACCTCCTAAATGTCTAAACCTAGTCCCCAAATTGGGCATGAAGTTTAATGGATGGTTCTTGAGCAGTTCAGAAATGATACAGAGTAGAGTTGAAAGCTATCAATTTAGTAGCCAGTAGAATTTTTTCAAAATAAAAATTTCTCTGCTATGATCGCAAAAACTGGGAAAGTGATTACTCTGACTTTTGTTTGTTGTTTTTGAAGTTGAGGTAATGTAGGAATCATGGAAGCATATGCAATTTCCATGTGAGATTATGAGGAGTTATGTGAGAATTGAGTGAAGCATTGTGGATATTCAAATGCAAGTAGAAGGGCACAAGATGAAGAACCTGTACTGTTGCTGCTATAATTTTTCTTAATCAGGAATGATTGGAAAATGGGGGATTCATTTTTTCTATGCTAAAAGTTTTTTTTCAGGATTTTGTTCCTTCAAATGAAACCTTCGTTACTTTTTGAAGAGGTTAAGCCTGAGAAAACTACTCTTAAGTTCAGCTAAGGTGTTTAAATAATCTGATGGAGTGTTTTCTCCTCCAGATCTTCCATGTCTCTCAGTACAAGCAATGTCCCACAATTACGTTGTTACGTGTCAGAAGCCCACAGCAGTGAATGCTTGTGCTACAGGTGAGTTCCATGCATTAGCTTCACATTGTCTGTATAGTCATTTATTTTTTCACCTGCATTGTAGGGCTAGATTTTTTTTGAGTATTTGTAGAGGATATTAACTCATTTTTCTGGTGCTTGGTTTTTTAATTTGATTGACTTCAGGCTGAGGTCTAAAATTCAAATAATGTATAATAAGTTGCATTGTGAGAGGTTTTATGGATTGATATGTAAAACTGTGTCAGGGTCATATTTATGGATGTGATAGGAATAAGGTGAATTTTCTTGGCTTTTCTTTTCAGGCAACTTTGTTTCCCAAGAGGAGTTGAATCTAGTTCTAGCCAAGAACAATTACTTGGAAATCTATGTTGTCCGCCCAGAGGGTCTACAGCTTCTCAAGGAAATCAACCTATATGGACGAGTTTCTGTAATGAAATTCTTCCGTCCAGAAGTAAGTAAATTTTTTTATGATCTTGCATTGAATACATATTTGACCTTTTCATTTTGTTCCATCTGTATAGGTATTCTTTGGTGAAGGCATCAGATTTCTTATCCTGTCCCTGTATTTTTTTTTTGGTTAACATCAGATCGGATCAGACCTGGCCCAGAATGTAACTGGGAGACAATGGTCAAGATTGAACTTAAGCTATGAACCCCTCCATTACTGAGGGGGGCCCAGTGGTACCCCCATGTTAAAATTTTCATGAAATTTCTACCTATACATTTTAAAATCTTTTTGCTGATTTTTGTAATCTTTCATTAGGGATGAGACTACACTATACATCACAAACTTCAACTCAAGAATTTGTTTTTGTATGATACATTTTTTTTTACATTTTAGTGAAAAAGCAATGGATTGTAATTTTTATCTTCTCTTATCTTTGATCTTTTATGAGTTTGAATCTTCCTTGCATATAAGAGCAACATCTCCCTGGTCCACCTACTCCCTGCAGACCGATTTTTCAAAAATAAAATTTGTAAAATATTAATTTGCCCATTTTTCTAAGTGTGTTAAAATATGCAGTTTTGATATTACTAGCCCAAGTTTTAATTGTAGCTGAAAATAGACAATAATCTTATTGATATCCCCTCAAAATGTATTGCTTTTTCTTCTCATCATATCTTGCCTAAGATATGTTGAGATTTGTGAAGATAGTGTTTTGTGAACAAGAGTGTTTTGGCATGGGCCATGTCCCCAATTAAGTTCATATATTCTTTCTACCTGATCAACCTACTCAGTGCTGGCACTGATTAGGTTGATCTGATCCTCATTATTTCTGTGCTTGGCAGGCCTACAAAGACCAACCCTTGTTGTGTATTCTTAATTATTGTTGTATTTCATTTTATTGTTAGAATGGGCAAGGAATTAAACCTTTGTTATTGGTAAGTTTTCAATGGCACATTATGCTGAGTCTTGAGAAACCAAAATACAGGGTTATCACGGGATATGACAAGCTGCTTAGCGAGCAATGTCTTGGCAACTGAGGGTGCAGTGTCTGCTTGAGGTTTTGCAGAGTGCCTGTGCTTCCTATTTAAATTTATTTCATTTACCTTACTGTAAAGAAGAGGTTGATAGTAGTGACCCTCAGTTCTCAAGCATTCTTTGCACCTTTTAAAGATGCTACCAGATACATGTCTGAGCTCTTAACGTGTGATGCTGGAAGCTGTTTGACGGATGTTTTCCTTCAACTCTTCTGTGTTTTCATGTGTCTTTCATGCACTTTGTCTTTCAGATTGCCCCAAAGATAAAAATCACAAGGATTTAAGTCCAGTGATTGTGGAGGCCATAATCCATTGCTTAGAACCCTATCCTCAAAAACACTGTGAATGGACTGCATTGAAACATCTGCTATATGAGTAGTTGTGCTATCCTGCATAAAATACCTGTACGATCTCTCTTTGTTGGTCATCTAAAAAAAAATGGTTAAAGAATTAATCTTACATATCTTTCTGAGCTCATTGTTTCAGAAAAACAATTATTTAATAGTCCTTCTTGCACTGATGGTGCACCACACACCGATTTCACATTGTGCTGAAGCATTTCATGAATAAGTCCAGGATTTTCAGCACTCCAGTACCAGTTGTTCTAAGTGTTACTAGCCACTGAATGTTACATAGTGGCCATACACAATGGAACCAGGCTTCACCACTAAAGAACAGTAGTTCAGGATCCACATTTCCATCAGATACTGCCTGCTGGAACCTTCTGCAAGAATTTAGGCTGAATTCGCACTCATGCTGTACAGCATTCTGGATTCTGCAACTGCATACTTTGCTTGAAAATCCAATGGATGTTGACTTTGAATTTCTGACCATAGTATGCAGTTTCAATTTCAGCATACTGTACAGCATGAGTATGAACTCAGCCTTAGCCTCATGGCACTTTCTGTTAGTGTTAGTCTATGCATGACTGGTTTTATACAGGGGCAATTTTAGCAGTGTAGTTGCTCTGTGTGCTGATGTTTTCAAAACTCTAGCTTGTAAGGCTAAATGTTTTAACAATTTCCTTGGGCTTCTCTGTAGATGAGCACTGATCCCACCCAGCTTTTCTTCAGTCAAAACATGCCTTGTACAAATTATCTTCTTGTCTAGAAATGATCCTGTTGTATGCAGTTTTGTAATGAGCCTCTGGATTGTCAATTTGCTTGGAACTGGAGTGCCATAAAATTTTTGGCTGAACTTTGCTTTATACTTTTTGTATGATGAACACCTTACATATTGTACAGGAAAACTCTCTGCTCAAGCAAATACTTCATCACATGAAATGAACTGCTCTTCAACAGGGGAATGGCAAGTTTGCTTGTGGGCACTGCACACTCAGCTGCTGAGACATCTATCTCTAAGCAGCCTGTCATAGCGAGGCCCATGATAAAATGAACATCCTATAGGATAATTTTAGAAAGCCTATTTAGATTTTTTCTTAACATAAAGCCTTTGGGGTTTTTAGCAGTAGTTGAAGACTTTCTGTCTGCTTTACTATCATTTAGTGCCTCAACCATTATGTCATAGCTATTCATAATGTGATTCTATCCTAGTAAAATAACCATTGTGCAAAATTCCATGTTGCTGTCACCAATATGGGAAGCTTGATTTCAGTGCAAATCATTCTTGAAGGTTGTTAGCAAAGACCTATTTATAGCTGTGAGAGTGGAGATGAGCTATATGTAATCCAATGGTTGCACCATAAGGCTACTGATGTATTTTCAGCTTAACAATTTCTTAAGTAAATCTATCTTTGAATCATCAAAATCTGTGAGTATCAGGGCAAGATTTGGGGATCACTGGGCACTGCCAAGATGATGAGAATTTTCGCTATTTTTGTGAAACCTCATTGCTAGCAACCAAGTACTATTAGTTTCCTCTATGCTCTTACCATTGAGTACATAATATATTTAAAGTAAATGTCATGTTTCTGCCAATAATTGTCCAATATGCTCTTGCCTGGAGGTGTCATTTCTGATACCTTACCCTTATCATATGCTATATCATATGGCTTCAGCCTTGACTCAACCTGACTGGATCTGCCAGTTTACATATTTACATAGTTTTGACTCAACTATGGATGGGGTGGTCAATTGACCACCTTTAACAATCATTCTCTGAGTCAAGTGTACCAAAAACCCCCCTCAAATTTTGGTGGCAATCTCACTCCTTGCCAGATCCGGAATTTTGGAACAGGTGGAGTAACATACATAGTCCTGAAGGGCTTGATCCAGGGAGGCTGTTGGTGTATAGTTTACTGTTTTGAGCAGTCCTTTCTACTTTTCTGCCCACCAAAAGTTGACCCATCTGTCCCATATGTTGACCCACCACTGTCATGCCTACCGACAGCTATTGGACAAAATTCTAATAGCAAGCAAGTGATCTACTCTCTACTTCATTGACCATGTGCTCTCTAAGCAATCAGAGATGCTGAGCAGGAGGAGGAGGTCCTGCAACAAAGGCAAACTCTGTCATCATGCTTACTGCAAAAGCTATGACCAAGTCCTCTGTGTTGTAAAACTTTCTGCCCTTTTACCCCTGAGAGTGATAGTCATATCTCTAGAAGTTCTTAGTTGATTTTCGAACAACAACTGCCATTAGATTCTCCATATCACAATGCCTATTCTCTCAAAGTTTTAGGTTTATGGAGAAATTCCTGGATCTGTCTTCAATCCAGAGTGCCTCCATCCATAGTTCATTTGACTCAGAGAATGGTTGTTAAATTGACTGTTATTGACCACTTTGTTTTTTCATTCAGTGAATTAATAAATGTTTATAGAGCTCATGACAATGTACAGTACTAAAACCAAAGAGCCAGTTCCATTTTAAAGTTATATTCATGCAGCCTGCCAAACATCTGGACTATTGGGTATGAAAATATTGGGTCTTGCAACACTTTCTTAAACTATTTATGAAATTTTTCAAAGGAATGATGGGCGTTTGGCTTCGCGTCGAGGGCGTTCCGCATGGCTTCATCATCGACTGTAGATGGACGTCCCGAGCGTGGTCGATCTCCGAAGGTCATGTCACCAGATTCCAAGCGTTTGAACCATTGAGACACCGTGGAATAGTGGACGACGTTGCCCTTGGATGCAGCGCAGATGTTGTCCGCGGCAGCTCTCGCAGAGTGTCCTTGGAGGAACTCGTAGTAGATGATCGGGCGAAGAGTTGCTTGTTCGATCGGAGCCATGGCTGCCAACTGATGGCAAAAGCCGCCTTATATACCCCGAGGGCAGAAGCTTCGAGAACTTCCTTGAGCAAGGTGACTGATTTTTCTGAAGGACAAGGCTGGCTTAAGTTTAGAAAGGGGGAATGAGATATTTCCCTTCTTCCTTCCCAAATGGAGGTTCTGGAAATGAATGAATACATGAATTAGAAATTGCATAGGACATGTTATAAAGTACATATTTTGATATTTTCAAGTGCATATTTATGTGCATGTTTTGGGACTTATTAGTGCATAAAAATTCATTTCTTAGTGGTGATGTTAGATCTATAATCCTTTTCTTATGGTGAAATCAACTGCTTTACTAGGTGATGTGATAAATATCTCTCAGTCGTTAAACTGATTTATTGGTCTCCCTGTGCAGTTACATCTGTAGCAATCAATGGCATTTCAACTTCTTTATTGCAGCATGAAAATAAGGACCTCCTCTTCATAATAACCCAACGTTACAATGTGATGATACTGGAATGTGTTCGGGAAGAGGATGACTTTGAGATAAAAACAAAGGCCCATGGCAATGTGAAGGACTCCATTGGGAACCAATCAGAAACGGGGATAATTGCAATCATTGACCCCACAGGACATGTGATTGGTCTCAGACTCTGTGATGGCATTTTCAAAGTGATCCCCTTGGAGAAGGATAACACAGAACTCAAAGCATTCAATCTCAGGTTAGTGTCTTTCTTTTTAAAGTTGGCTCATTTCATCCCAATTATCTGGAATTCAACCAAAGTTGTTGGAGGCATCTGATGAAGTTTCTATAAATTTGGCATGGAGGTTTGTTCAGCTAAGGAAAAAGTCATGCCAAGTATTTAACATTCATAGTCATATTTCCCAAGATGTGTTACAAAGTCATGACCTGGACTTGTTTCTATATGGATCCCTCTTTGCATATTTATTAATATCTTGGAAAATATTGAAGCTTAGTCAATGTGTTCTACCTCATTCCAAAGTTCTGCAAGAGACCTTTCTATTTACTGCATCATAAATTTGTTCTGCCATCAAATGATTACCTCATCTTGCTAACAATAACCATGAGTTTTGACCTTGACTAACATAAAACACTTTTCCTCTGTCATTATTTAAGCAGCTATACTTCCAGAAAAAACACTGTTCAAGAGATGCAAATAATTTCAGGAGTATGGTTTTCTTAGATATGTAGTTGTTATGCATTCAAATGAATGCCAGATGCCTAATTCATTGAAAGACTGACCAGCCATTGAAGAGGAGGGAAAAACCCTAAGGGCAAAGAAAACAGTGGAAGAGTTCCCTGATGAACACTGGAGTGCCTCAGTATCAATTTGCTTTTGCAAAAGATTGATCAAACTGGCAGCAGTGATTGCAATCTCCCAGTGATCAGTAAATTGTGCAATCAATCTTAGGAGGAACAGAAAGGAAAGTGTTTTTGAAAATAGAGATGTCTTTGAATATTTGCAACAATAATACAAATAAATATTTGAGCTTGTTGCTTTACTTCTGGGGTAGTTCATTTCTGAGCAGTGAAAGTTCAGAGTGCCTTGAAAAATTTTATTTCTCCACAATCCTTTGTCCAAATGTCTCAAGCAAAATTTTTATTGAAAGCCAAAAACAAATGGAAGTTAGCCTGCAAGAAATTTGGCTGATCAATCTTGAAATATAAGAAATTCAAGAATTCTGAAAGACAGTGATCCAGGTTTTTTTGGGCCACCCTGTATATACTCTGCTGTCCCCAGGTCAAATATCCAAACCTATAAGCTTTGAGTTTCTTATTCCAAAACCAGATCAGGCAGTTAAGCAAGAACATCCTACTGAACCTTGGTTGAAGGTTATGAATCTTGTTTACTTAAGAGTGAGCTCATTCAATCTCCATATTGAAAAATGTTGCAGTAAATGGAAAGGTCTGATTAAGAACTTTGGTATGAGGCATAGGACTTCACCTTACTTGAATAGTTTGTGAGATGTTACATTTTGTGCTGAGGGATCCACAGAGAACCATTTTCAGGTCTAAACTTGATGACCCTATATCCTGAAAAATATGTGTGCAAAAGTAAACATCTTTGGCAGAAAATTTTCCCTCAATGTAGCAAAGCCACCATGCCATATTTCAATCGCATCCATGGGATGTTTATTCAGTAAGTCCATGAAAAGTTTTTTTTCCATCTTGGTCTAACATTCACCAGCCAGATGCATTTAATTCATATACAAGATATGAAAATAAAAAGAGGCTCCTGACTTTTGCACAAGATATCTAATCTATTATTTTTATTTTCAAGAAATTTGCATCAGCTGATGTTGGCACGAGACCTGTGAAATTTAATTTTAAAAATTTCTTCCAAATAAGGCAATGAGCAATTATTCTATTTAAGCTGGATATTGAAGAAAAAAAGGACCCTGCTGGGAGTTGAATGGAGCCTTTATGTTGAAGATGCATTTATGGAGATTTGTCATTCTGCAGGAGCCAGAGTCTCCTGTCCATTTTCAATTTTCCAGTCATTAATGGCCTTACTCTAGCCATACTCCAGCCTCATTATTATTGAGCCTTACTCTATGTGAATTTGCAAAATTTCAAAGGGGTGTAATGAACACATCAGTCTTTGCAGTACAAGTTTCATTTGAAGTGCTCCAGTAAGGACAGAGTTATGAAGGTTAAAGTTTGAGGTATTATTTCCCCATACCCTGTAGATCTTTTGGCATGGGAACACCTATACTCTGACCTCCAATCTGAGAGGGCAATTTCATTTTTGTTTTCTCACATGGTTTGACTCTTTCCATGGGATCATCAGAAAGGAATTATGATGACATTCAGTTGCCATGCCAAGGGTTTGGTATATGATTTTAGATAATGCTTGAACTTGTTTAGATGTCTTGCAGTTAGCTTACTATGAAGGGGTAGGGGGAAGGCAGAATACATACTTTCAGTTCATCTTAGGATGTATTGTATTTCTGTTGGCAGGAGAGCTTTCATTCCACCCTGTGCATGTGCATTTACAATACCAAACAGCCCTCTCCCACAGGATGGCATAATAAGAGGAAATCACTTTTTTTTGCATGGGGGTACAAGGGGCACTCCAAAAGTTATTGCCAAATGGCATGAAATATTGGCTGATCCTAATGCAATATTTTTGCTATTGTTTTTCAGTGATTTTTAAAAAATGTTTTGCCGATTGATGCATGGTATTGTAAGGCCAAAAGAGGTCACCCTTGAGGACAGATGACCTTGACCCATAGAGATCTGCAGAAGCTGATTTGGTATGGTTTCCAAAGGTCTACCTGTGGAACAGTGTTTTGGAGGTATGAAGTCATCTCTGGGTGATTTTGCCACCACCACACCAATTTTGAAGTTCCTTTGCAGAATTTGTACAACATTTCTTGGCAGAAATTGACTCAAGCCAATTTTTATCCTTAGGTAGCAAATGAGAGACCCAACAAGAACAAAATTTCTCCACCCCAAGAATTTAATGCACAATTTTGTTTCCAAGACAGACTCTCCAATCCCAAGAGTCTCCTCTATGACAGCATGTCACACTTCAGTCTTCCTCAATCATGGCTTTCACTTCAGCCACATTTGTTTCATCACTTCAGAAATTGGATGACTTTCAGAGGGCTTGTCCTCCAGGCCCACACCTGAACATTTGAAACCAGTCATCCACAAAGCACGTAGATAGGGCAAGATCAACCAGTTATGATTTGATCTCCACAAAACATTTGCAGTTAGATGCCTTTGAAAACCATGCCAAAACAGTATTTGCAGATCTCTATGGGTCAAGGTCACCTGCCCTAGAGGTGACCTCTTTGAGCCTCATGCTACATTTCACCATTTTGGTAAAAAAAATTAACTGAATTTTATTGAATCCCTGAAGAACACTACCAAAAAATATCAATAGGATCAGGCAATATTTAATGCCATTTGTCAAGAACTTTTGGAGTGCCCCTCTTATGAAACTAAAATACAGCTGCTGGATGTAACTGATTGTTTTTAAGCCTCATGTGAGCATTATACCCCTGCACATGTAGGATAGTGGAAAGACACTCCTAAGGGTTTCAATTGGGCAAGACCTTTATCCTTCATGGCTGATGTGAATAATAGTTGTATTTAGCTTAAGGGTCACAAGGACAAAGGAAGTTTAGTTAAGAATCGACTCATTCTGTACGAATTTGCTGTTCTCAAGGATGCCCCATTAACCCCTTGAACACACATGATGTACCCATATGCGTCATGGGCCAGGTCCATCCCCGATACACACATGACGCATATGGGTGCGTCATGCGAATATCGAAATTTCCCGCTGCGACCACTCTCGCTGTGACAGCTGCATGATGGCTGGTCATTTCTCTATTTGGCAGACATCGTACCAGTACAGCCTTCTCGTTTAAAGCTCGCCTTTTTCTGCAGAAAAAGTATCCTGTCTGGTGCACTCTCCCCATAAGCAGTCATGGCGTCGCGCAGGAAGGGAAAACATGGTGTTGAAGAAAGTTTGGTCAGTAATTTACTGTGTGAGAACGACTTTGACTTTGAATATGAGTTGAGTCATTCTGAATGAGTCTTCAAGTACAGAATTTGACTTTTCAAGAGAAGATGTTAGCAGGCATTCAAAAAATTCTTATGGTGACTCCGGTGACAATGATGACAGGCATGGTGATGCAACAGCAGAGATGGCAGAGATGGCAGTTCTGCCAGTGCCGGCAGTGCAAAGTGGCCTTACACGGGAAGAACTGCTTCCAGAAATACTAGAAAAGCTTGTAGAACTTCTTAGCTAAGAGCTAAAGTAGACACAAAATAAGCCAATCTGTCAAATAACACTTTGTAAAATAAATCATGAATATTGTCAGAAAAGTTGGTGTATCAGGGGTGCCCTCAGATTCATTTTCTTGTGTGTTCAAGGGGTTAATGATGAAGAGGTGGACGAATTTCTTGACTTTTGCCAAATCTTTGGTCTTAAAACACTGAAAATCCAGTAATGTCAATTCTAGGGTACAAATACAGAGGGTTGGTTGGGATTCTGTGACAACACATTCAACACAGCATTGCACCTGCCCTTTTTGCAAGCTTTCTTTGCCTCAAGGTTTATAACATAGATGTTTATCTTGTGCTTCTAGTAAGCCGGTCTTTTCAGGTTGGCTGACTGGAATGCCTCCAAAAATATATCCTTATCCCATTGATGTGCTTTGAAACACAATAGTTTTGAGCATCTGCTGTGCCATAGTGTTCGTGCCATTCATGTTCTGCTGTGGGGAAGCAGTGCAAGAAGCAAGATTTTTGCATGTCATTGATAGAAGTTCTCTAAGTTCTGAGCCATATTGGGGAAGCTCAAACTGTGGCCTGGGAAATGAGTCAAAAGCTTAAATCTCAGCCTCTTTGGTAGTGCCATTACTAAAAAATCCCAACAGATGGGAACCCAAGGGAATACACTTGCCCGAAAGTTCATGACTAAGAATGTGTGATTATCTGTGGAAACCATGAACCACATTATCAATTGATATCTGGGACTATGCTAGGTCTAAATTTTTATTAGTTTTTATTGTGAGAGGGGACTTATTTTGAGGAGGTATAGATTAGCCCAATAGAACCTCTGATGCTTGTTTGAGTGACAGTTCCAACTAATGACAAATGAATTTAAGTGCCTGAGGCTGTAGAACTATTAATTGAAACAAAACTTCCTTCTCATTAGCCTTTATCATCTTGAGGAAGACCTGTAAAATCTGATTGGTTTTAATAGTGAAAATTTAGGGAGCTTTTCTTAGGTATTGTTATGGTGCTCTTTGAGCTTGATGGAATTTGAACTGATCTGATTTCATTTATCAGCTTGGCAGTCTCTAAAATGACATTTGTGTTTCATTGTTATTGAATTGCAATAGTTTGGAAGAGCTCGTGATTCAGGATATGGCCTTCCTCTCTGACTGTTCTGTGCCAACAATTATCTTCATTCATCAAGATCAGAATGGTCGTCATGTCAAGACTTATGAGATATGCCTCAAGTCAAAGGAATTCAAAAAGGTATGGTTTACAAATTTAATTTTCTATTCTTAGAAATAGTTATATAAAGTAAGCCTCCACCAGCTCCATCCCAATAACTACAGTTAAATCTATTTAATCTGGTTCTTACCTCATGTTCCTCATGCAAATTTGAACATTACATTTGGTCTGTTTGCTCCCATTTTGGGAATGCAGTTGGTTAACCATCAATGTGCTAGAACACTGCCACTTGATAAGCCTTTGTGGTCCTATGTCAAGTATACCCTGACAATTCAGATAGAGAATCTTAGAAGTTAATCCACTTAGGGTTAGCATGGTAACCAGCCAATGTAAATGTCTCTGAAAGTTTAGAATCTCAGAGGTTTTTCTGTTCTCCCCCCATTGTAGTTTTCCCAATAGACTGCTCTGGAATTATGGTCTTCATGGGGAAAGACATTGAGTGTGTTGGACTTTAGAAACATAGAAATGGTTGTGGTGTCATTGGGGTGCTAGCATGGCATTCTAAAATCACAACTCCTGGGAGTACTTGGGGTGCTCTGTAGTGTTCTCCTGACTCACTCTGCTTTTATATTTTCCCTGCTTTTCCCTATATCTGATTTTACAATAGTGCTCTTAGACTCAGTTACTCTAGATGTGATAAGCTGGTGCTCATGATTTGTGATCCTGTAACTGATGCACATGGATGTCTTCCACCAATTCAATCAGAGTGAGATATTTGAGTGGTAATACTTGAAACCTGGTTTTTGTCTGCCATTGGTGGCTTCCCCCCCAAAATTGCAATGTTATGCCGCCTCTTTCCTCAAGACTAAATCAGTGAATGTCTTAGTGCTGTTCTAGGTGAGGAAATGAAACATTTTGTGTGGAAATCATATTATGATAGTGTATGATCCTGCAAAGTGATCTTAGTCTTTACCTGCAAGAAACTTCTCATGAAAATTATTTTCCCCCCATTTTTTGCCAGTTTGTCACATTTTTCCCCCCCAGCCATGAAGGAACATTTTCATCCTCTGATCACTAAGTAGAACATCAGGTAGAGCTAAGTTAGGCCTTTTTTTTTTTGCCAAACTAGTATTACCCTGAGGCATAGAGGTTGACTTGTATCTAAGTTAGTTTGTCCAGCTCCAGAAAGGACCACACCTTGATCCACAAAGAGCAGCAAAATTCTCCTATGTCATACTTATTCCCTCTTTACCTCCCTTCTGCTTTCCAAAAAAAAAAAAAAGGTTTCCTATGAAAGCAAGGATGGCCTTTGACAGGTCATATAAGAAATGGCAATGTAATAAGGATTCATGCTACCTGGTCCTTTTTGGAACTGGACAACCTTTAAATCTAATATGACTCATCTTTACTTGGCATCATTCCTCATCTGCTGATAACCATATTTATGAGATTGGTATTCTGCACTCTACCTTGAAGCCATCTGAGTCATCTGGTGTCATATTTTTTTAACAGCTTGAGCTACTGGTTTATTTTACTGCCAAATTGCTGATGTTTTCACAGTCTTATACTGGCCAGCATCTGTAACCCTGCTTTTTCTTGGCTAGTATGCAAACACTTAGTCTAATTCTGCAGTTGCCATTGAAAGCAATCTAAGCTGGGTATCTAAGTGAATGAAACCATGTTGTGTTGGGATGGATCCTGGGAAAATTCATCAACTCAGGTAAACCTGAAATAGCTGCCCCACATGCATTTCTGGTGCATGATTGGCCTGGTTGAAGGCTGACATATCTCTGAAAGTGTATCAGGCACACCCAGTTTTCCTGAATTAACACGAGACATTGTCTACCAAACATATAACCGATGAATCAATCCATCTAATGTGAATTGTAGTTTTAGTTGTCATTGTGCAGCTTTTTCTCATTCAAGTCACTGATGAAATTTTGATTGATGCACAATCTCCATAGGGTCCCTGGAAGCAAGATAATGTGGAGACAGAGGCATCATTAGTCATTCCTGTCCCGTTGCCCTTTGGAGGTGCTCTAATTGTTGGAGAAGAAACTATAACATACCACAATGGCTCTTCTTACATCCCAGTTGCTCCTCCTGTCATCAAAGTATGGAAAATCTTCAGTCCTCCTTGTAGCCCTAGTACCATGTAGCTTTCTTTGTTGGGTTGTCTCATCACACATACGAGGTCTGACAATAAAATAACGAGACTGACAACACTGTAATGTGTGTGGCAACACTGGGTTAGTGGCAATTGCTATAACCTGTCAGTGCATGTCTTAAGTCTGTGCAGTAACAATTTTGTATTGATCCTTTTAGTGATTGCAGAGCAGTATCACTTAACCTAAAGTAGTGTTAGGGGCACTCGTAAAAAAAATGGGTGGTAATATTATGAACAATGAATCAATGTGAAATTTATAATCAAACTCGGGAAAAAACCAACTGAAGTTTTTGAAATGTTGACATTTCCGTTAAAACCAATCGTACAGTCTCTCTATTGATACACAGTTCTTTGGCAATCATTCTGACAATAAGACAACGATCACTTCGCACCAGAGTTCTCACACTTTCGATGTTTTCATCCAATTTTGAAGTTGTTGGACGTCCAGGTTGTCTGTGAAACTCAACTTCTTCCCTTCCTTCAGAAAAGTGTTTACACCATTCAAAGACATTTTGCTCTGGACATAACCTCATCTCCTTACAGTTATTTCAACATTTCAAGGACTTCAGTTGGTTTTTTCCCAAGTTTGATTTAAAATTTCACATTGATTCTTTGTTTATAATATTATCACCAATTTTTTTACGAGTGCCCCTAACACTACTTTAGGTAAAGTGGTACTGCTCTGCAATCACTAGAAGTATCACGACAAGTTTGTTGTTCCACAGACTTAAGACATGCACTGACAGGTTACAGCAATCGCCAGTAACCCAGTGTTGCCACACACATTACAGTGCTGTCAGTCTTGTTATTTTATTGTCAGACCTTGTAGGTATCCATGTCCATTGAACAGAAAATGTGGAATTTGTTTTAAGATTGGATAAGTCAAGAAAAAGGCTTTTTTTTTTTTAAACCAAAGTTCATTGGCCAAGGGCTTCATACAATATCATCAGGAGATATCTGGAAAAGCTGAAAAGCCTGTCAGATGGCAGGTATCATCCAACCTGATTATTAATACAGGCCTATTTTTAATATGAAGAAGTCAGTAAACATAGCTAGTTTATCATTTGAAAAGATAAACTTTGAATTGTACCTTCAAATTGGACTCAGTACTGTATTTCTTTTTGCATTTCTCTAAAGTGCTTTTTGCTTGTTTTGTTGAGTCCAGCATAGCACCATTTCGTGCTATTGTCAAGTGGATCCAGTGAGATATCTCCTTGGAGGCTTCCTTGGAAAACTTTACATGCTCATTCTTGAGAAGGAAGAAAAAATGGATGGTTCCCATGTCATCAAGGATCTGAAAGTTGAATACCTTGGTAAGATCTCTTTTGATATCCCCAGCCAGCAGATTTTTTTTCTTTTAATTTTTTTAAAGTGAACTAAGTGTATATTGTACTGAGTAATGTCAGGGAGTTCTTTGGTTTGAGTTTTTATACAGTGCATGACTAGTAGACAAAAGTCTTGAATCATGGGTTTTCTATAGCCTTTGACCTCTGCACATCAGGATGAAGCTCTACAGGGTGGTCCAAATAAATGCTACATATAGAAAATACAAGAGAAAGTCAGATGAAGTAGTTTTTATTCACCCAAACTCAAAAATATCAATTATATATGGCTGGACAATCAAAGGCAATTATGAAAACAATTCACTGATTGGAAAGATACCTGTAATTAACCGTTGATTAACAGTGAATTATATGTTCAATCCAGCATCCTTCTTGTTCAATGACATCATCTATTTGACTGGAGAAGTTGTTGAACACTCACTTGCACATTTCCTTTGGAATGTTTTGAATTGCTGTGATGATGTTTTCCTTTAGATCAGCATTGGTATCTGGGTTATTCTGATAGATGTTAGTTTTCAGGTATCCCAACAGAAAATAATCTAGTGGGGATATATCGGGAGAATACAGGGCCCCAAGTTCTCAGTACAGTGGGAGATCAGTCTGTCACCTGGCAAGTGTTCCCTCAGTGCATCTAAGGTGTTATTTTCAGTATGGGGTGGGGCACAATCTTGTTGAAAGATGACTGTGTTTATATTTATGCTACGGAGCTCTTGCAACTTAGAGAGAAACTTCTCTTCGATCATCTGCACGTACCTCTCCCCATTCACAGTAATGGTGGCTCCATCCTCATCTTCAAAAAAGATTGGTAATTGGGGTCTATCAGAATAACCCAGGTACCAATGCTGATCTAAAGGGAAACATCATCACCGCAATCCAAAACATTCCAAAGGAAACGTGCCAGATCAACAACTTCTCAAGTCGAATAGATAATGTCATCGAACAAGGACACTGGATTGAACATGATATTCTTTATTTATTAATGGTTAGTTACAGGTATCTTTCCAATCAGTGAGTTGTTTTCATAATTGCCTTTGATTGTCCAGTCATATGTAATTGGTATTGTTGGGTTTTTGTGAATAAAAACCACGTTGTCTGACTTCCTCTTGTATTTTCCATATGTAGTGTTTTTTTTGGACCACCTTGTATATGCTGAGTCTAAAATTTTATTTGCATTTATAATGAGTGGGTACTTTGAGGATGCAGAAGTTAGCCTAATAGAGCCTCTTATGAACATGCCTGTTTGATAGACAGTTCCAATGACACACAAATTGAAATGGATAAGGCAACAAAGATATTGATTTCTTTCTTTTCTCATTAAATTTATTTGATATTTCTCTCAATTTTGTCCTATTGGTAAGTAATGCAGCCTAACTGCAGAATATTCCCCACTCATCTTTCCATTAATAATAAATTTTTGTTAAATATTCTGTTCAGGGTGTTATGCTTTGACGTGTAGGTAATAAAAACCAATTGATCCCAATTCACCCAGTGGGGAGAAAGTCACCCTCTTCAATTTGGCTCCTGATTTTTTTAATGATAGGCATATGTAAGAGGAGTCACTGTATTTTTTTCTGCATTTTTTTTTTCCTGATACTTAGTGTAGGCAGTAGAATTACTTTAATCTTGGGGGTAGGGCTTATTTTACTAAAATTAGGATTCCTTTGAAGTCTCCCATCTGCCTAAGTTGCAGCGGTGACAATTTGATCATGGTCTTATTTTAAAGAAGTAAGACCAAGGAAAATATAAATATTGGTTTATGCTATGCTACCACATATTCCACAAAAAATTCAAACTAGGGCTGTACCGGTGGCCACATTTGGCTGGTGGGCCGATGGCTGATTTTTTCCTCATGACCATCGGCCAGCGCCAGTGCCAAATGTGACCTGTAGAAGAAATTGCCTATAAATTCAAATAGGCCTAATTGGAAGCCATGTGATCCTTATCAGTAGGCCTCTTGGAAATGAAAGAGACCACTTTTGGTCTGTCCAGCCTGTCTGTCTCTCTATGTGGCTTTCAGTGGTTAGCTTGCTACCCATTGCTACATTTGAAAGTATTTAATGACACATTCCTTGCCAAAGCATAAAACGTAAATGGAGGTGCAATGATTTCCCATTCTTTACAGCTACTTTCCTCCACCAGTTCCTATAATATGTCTGTAACATAATCCAATTGATGTTTTTGCCTGCGAGAGAGTGACTTTCAGTGAGACAGGAGGGTTGGCGCCTAGCTGCGTTCACACCCTTACGTAATTTTTTTTTTGCTTTGCCTGTCCTTTGGGCACCGTCACTGGCACGGTTCCCTTTGGCCAATGGCTGATGGTGCAACTCTGGCAGCTGATACCAGTGTTAGCTGATACATCGCTGCAGCCCTAGTTTATGCCCAAAATGCAGATATGCCAAAAGTGAAAATAGACTCCGTTAAAATGGTCAAATTTTGTCATTCATACAGGGACTCTGGCACTTTATTAGAAGTATTCAAGTATAGCATCATCTATTAAACCTCACTGGTAGTGCTATACTTCTTGTCTAAGTATCAAGCCCTGTTCTTACTGAATCAGGATGAAGCTGAAGTCCTCACATCAATGAATTAATGGTTGCTTCTAAGAATTTGCTATCATGTTGCAATTGCCTTGATATTGCTCACTTGATTTTCTATACCCAGGGGAAATCAGCATTCCTGAATGTTTGACATACCTTGACAATGGGGTGGTCTATGTTGGATCACGTCTGGGAGATTCTCAGCTGGTGAAGTTGAATGAGGAGCCTGATGAAAATGGATCCCATGTTACCATGTTGGAATCTTTTTTGAATTTGGGTCCAATAGTCGACATGGTTGTTGTCGATTTGGAACGCCAGGGACAAGGTCAACTTGTCACTTGTTCAGGTGAGTTTGTTGACTCCTTTTCTTTCTGTGAATAAAGCAACATCAACTTCAAAAAGCTATTAATGAAAAAGAAAGTGCTGGTACCAGTCTTCCCATACCATGAGGGGAAATTGATGATTTTTCCATCTTAGTGTCAGAATTCTGGAACTATGAGTCTGGGACTATTCTTTCGGTACAGAGTTTTTTGCTCGTGGCTATGCCTCCCCATTGTTTTTTTGGGGGGGAGTGTGTGGGCTAAATGCTTAGTTTTGGGCTTGAAACATGCAGTAACTCCAGCAGATAAGAGTTTTTAAAAGTTGCACTTTACTTTTGTTTTAATTTAGAGTGTGGTTAATACAAAGCAGGAATTGATACAGAGAGAAGGGACCACACATGCCCAACTGTACTGATGCTGAAAGGGTTTAAAATGGAAGAGAGAAACTTAAATCCAGAACTTGGAAGGAGAAAGAAGGGAAGTAAATTGGCAGGAGAAAGAATCCCATACAGAAAGATCATATATGGTAGTCATATGCAATTATCTGTGCCTTATAATTTTTATATATTTATCATTTATTGAAATGTGCATGCATATATATGCAGGCATATATGGTTTGAGCATATGATCCATGCAAGGATTATTCATATATTAAAAGTAGCAGGGCTGCATATATGTTCTGTATAAAAGAATAATACAATTTGAGGGATGGACTCCTGCATGTATGGCAGACCTAGTTTAAGTACATGGTTTTTTATGAAGAACTTTTGTATATTGTGAATACACACTTAGCATGTATGCTTTCATAAAAAAAATATGTATTGCTGGAAATGTATTGTGTACCATTTGCATATGGGATATGGGGGTCTCCATTAATTTAGATGGTATGGCCATATGGTATGAAAACAATTACTTTGTGGCCTTTTCATTTATAATTTACAAGTACTGCATGTTTCATGCTGGAAAGGTTTTGCTGCTCTTTTTAATGGTTGCTATAATCCTGCATAATGACTTGCATGCAATTACTTATGAAGTAAGCCATACATTACTTAATTACAGGGTGTCACAAAAGTTCTGTACACTTTAAAAAACCATTGTTGGTTCTGAGCTAACATGTTCCAATATGTTTGGTTTGGTATCTATAGGAAGCTAATGGTACAAGGGACTTAGTTTCATCAGCATTTTATGAACCCCTATTAGTTTCATCATGTCATTGTCCAAATGAAGATCATTGGTCTGCTGTTATTAGTTTGCATGAAGCCGGGAAGTCTCCCTCTGAGATCTTCCGGCTGCTCTAAAACAAAGACTACAACTATAACATCATGAAACATACTATCAAGCAGTTCCTTGAGACAAACTCTACCGAGGGTTGTCACCGATTGGGTCAACCGAAGTCTGTGTCAACCACTGCCAACATCAAAAGAGTTCGATCTCGACTTCGTTGCAATCTGAAGCAATCACTGTGAGAAATGGTCCAAACTACAAAGATAAATCGTGAATTGCTCTGACAAATGGTCAAGAACAAACTGAATCTCTTGCCTTTGAAGCTCCATAATGCTCAATTTCTCACAGAAAAAGCAAAGAAGACTAGGCTGCAATGATTGCAGTTGCTGCTCCATAGGTTCACAGATGGCAGTCATCGCAATATCCTCTTTTTTTATGTAAAGCTCTCTACAATCAAGTGATCCCTTAACTCTCAAAATGACCAAGTGTGGGCAGCAGAGTCATTAGGCATCTCTCCAGACATCCATCGTGTTACTCAGATTCAGATGTTAGTTTCTATGATGACGTGGGCTAGTATCTGCAGAGGGGCATACACCACTGGTTTTTGTGCCTTCTGGCACAAAGATCAATGTGATTGTCTACTGAGACCTCATCCTGGAGGGCACAGTAAAGCCCTGGGCCAAACAGCACTTTGGGAAATGTAAATGGACTTTTCAACAGGACTCTGCACCAGCCCACAAGGCAACAATCATTCTGGCCTTCTGCAAGGAAGAATTTCTTGACTTCATCACCTCGACAGAATGGCCTCTGTAATGTCCCGATCTGAACCTGTTGGACTTTTCTGTGTGAAGCATCTTGGAGAACAAAGCCTGCACTACTCCACATGCATCAGTCAAGTTGCTGAAGCAGAATGGCTAAAAATCTCCCAAGAAACTCTGTGATCTGCAGTCAATGCATTTCCAAAAAGACTTCATGATTGTGTCAAAGAAAAACTGGCAGTTTTGAGTGATTTTGCTGGTATTATCTATTGAAATAGCTGTAGTTTCTAATTTTTTAATCCCCGTTTTTCAGCTGTTTAAAGAAGTAATAAAATGTTGAAAAAACTGAGTGTACAGAACTATTGTGTCACCCTGTACTTATACCATGTTTTGAAAGGCTGTATATGTTAATACGCTCTACACTTAAGGAATTGTTGGACTTGAGAACAAGTATGACACACTCTGAGGCTTTAGGCTTCTACACAATTTGGCCATCCTCATGATTCCCATCATGAAGTACACATTAAACCAATTCCGAGTGGCAGGGATGTGAAGAAACTGCTGCGATTTTACTTTCATTTTCTTCTTCCTGGATTGGAAGTAATAATTGACAGATTCTGATTGATGGTACAACTTGACAGTTCTGACTGAGAAAACGTTGTACTACTTGAAATTGATATGGACATCTTTGTTCACTTATTCCTACATGTTTCATTTTAAGCACATTAGCGAATGGTTTTTTGTATTTTCACAGAAGTAACAAATGATGTGCCAATTCTCAACTTATTTCCAAAAGTCATTTTTGACATTTGGGAGAGTGCAAAAGTGTCATGATTTCATGTATGTTTCATACCTGACTTGGTCATGTATCTCATCAGATGTGACATATATGCCTCATCATATACTAGATGAACATATTAAATCATACTAATTTCTTATCTGCTCCACCATATCTTTTACATACATGCTTTTAATAAAATTATTATATTGCCTTGCCATATATGATCATATACTCATTGTTTCAATAGCAATATATGATCAGATATATATTCCCATAAATGTTCATATAATATCATATATGATAGTCCATATATGTCCCATATATCATATATGCCCATTTCTTATAAAATCATATACAGTGGATTCCGCTTTATTGGGACACGTTGGTTCCAGGTTGATTTGCCCCAATTAACCGGCTGCCCCAATAAAGCGAACTTACCTTATAGTATAGTAAGAAACCCAGACACGAATGTCCTTTACTTGTGCAAAAACAAAAATTAAGATTCAAGGAATGTGCTCACAGTTGCTTGTTTCATACCCAAAAAAGCATCTCTAAAGCACCAATGCCAAGAGCACCATGTCCGTTATCATCCAAACCCTGATCAATAAAGTAACACTGAAGGATGTCCACTGAGTGCTCTTTCGTGGCCTCATACGCGAGTCACCTTAAGTAAAGTCTCAGGCTCCTCGTCTGCGACATTCTCTTAGCAAGGCCTCTTGGCAACGATGTCCGTGACTATATTGTCCTCAAAGTCCTAGTCTTCTGTGAAGACCGGTGCGTTTTCGATGATGTTGACGTAGGCTTCTCTATTAGTGACATCAATAATGGTCAGACCCCCGTCGTTGGCTAATGAAAGCCAGATCTACGGAAGCTGTTTGTGATGGTCTCTGCCTTAACAGTCGGCCAGCTCTTAACCACAAAAGACACGGTGAAGAGGAGCGAGGTAGTGGGTGGAAAAATCAATCTGGGACTGACAGCATAAGTTAATCTTGATCTTGCCCTGATAAAGTGGATTTTTGTCCTGAATATGCTGTGAAATTTAAATGCACTTGCATATAAATGTTTCAGTTCCTGACTAAATGTCCTGATAAACCGGCTGCCCCCATTAACTGATGGCCCAATAAAGCAGAATCCACTGTATCATTTTTCCATATGGGAAGGGGAGCAACTTGGCTCTGGACTTTGCTTCTTCCTCCCCTTAGAAAGATGCCTGGGTAGAAACCACCTCAAACAGGGTTCATGCCAGAGACCTTGTGATCCTGGATATGCCCAGATCATTTTTGAGATTTTTGATCCCTAACCAACTCCCGCGTACATGGGACAAGCTGCTTACATTATCTCTGTGGAAAATTGCCCTGGGTGATGGAATGGGTCCATTGCACACAGTGCAATATGCTTGTATTTTTTTTTTAAATACAATCTCCTTGTATTTTTTTAAAATACAATCTCCCACAGCTTCAATGCTGTGGAAGATTTAGTTTAGTATTTTGTAAAAAAAAAAAAAATTGTGGCTATAGTTATGATTATATACTACTCAGATGACAGAACTTATGCAGTCTCTTAATTATCAATCTGGAAATAGCCAGGATTTTAAATAGCCACAATAAGGAAATGAAGCAAGTATAAGATGAATACATTAAGCAGAATTATGAGTCTTAGACTAGTGAAAAAAGGATATTTGCAGTGACTTTCATAATTGTAATTTTCCCTTGAACTTTGATGGCAAGATTATGCTTCAAAACTCTTAAACTAAGAGAAACTGAGCATTTTCATGCTGAGTTTCATGCATTTTGAAAGAGGATCATGTTATTGATGAAGAAAGGACCTCATTGAAGAAAAAAAAAAGTATGTTAATTAACATTTAAAAATTTAAATTGGGGGTCCAGGTTGGGAGGAGGGTGTTTTAGGTGATTCCCTGTAAGTCATTCACAATTATAATAAGGGCTGTTCCAAATATCATGTTGTCTTGACACCCCTCTGTCAACCTCTAAGTGGGGGAGTTTTAGTCCATGGATTTACCACTAATGGAAAAACTAAAGTTTTTTTTTGTAGTAAAGTAGCCTGATTTTGTGTTTTGAACAATTTTTCAGCTAACCTTAATATTGTTCTGTTAAAATTGAATGTTATGGAAAAGATAAATTGTCACAGAAACATGTTGAATGGGAAGAAAATATCCATCAAAGGGTAAAACACTCAGGACCGATTGCATGGATGATGTTTTCCCAGTGTTTTTCGAAAGTCATCAGTTAATCGATGTCTAAGGATAAGAGTGGATTGCATGAACGCTATCTTCCTTTAACCATCATCTAACCGATGTCTAACAGAAGCCGAAAAAGGTGTCGTTTCCAGACAAGGGATGGGGCATGTTTTGCCGATATTTATGCCAGCGTTCGTGTACCATCTCGATGAGTATAGCGCTGCAGTGTACTTGTGAAGCACAATGAATTCTGTTTATGGATCCACTCGATAAGGACGATGTGCTCTCGTCGTCGCATGGGAGGAATAAACAGGTTCTGGGCTTAATCCCTTTCAAGAATATGTCGATTAGAACTTCCGCGTGAGATACCAATTTGGAAAAGGATCAGGGTATGATGTCGACCTGCTTCACGCTCAACTCGAATGGAACGAAGATCGTGGAAAGGATCCCTTAACTTTACATTGACAGATAAGAGCAATCACTGTTCGTGTGCAATGAATCATGATTTGTTCAAGTACCCATCCCCTGAGTAATTAATTAATATGACTCAAAAGTAAAGTGAGTATCGTGAAAGCCTTTTGATTTGCATGTTATGCTGACCCTTCGATTTTATGTGGCGTCGATTCCTAGAAATGGAATGGCGCAAGCCATTGCCCATTTGCATCGCTCATTGCATTCCTAGGAGGAAAAATGGAGTAGTTGTATGAAGATAATTATTTGATATTGTCGATTTCCAGGAGTGATCATTGTCATCGATGACTGTTGTACTCGAATAGAATGCCCAGACAACTTTTATCAATCACAAATGCTTCTATTTCATCGATGTCCAAGCAGTGCGTGATGTGGAAAAGATTTTTACCAATGTTGTCATTATGTGACCAGGATCCACACGTGATTCTTGAAAATCTTCATTTTGCAATCGTACCCAAATGATACTCCTATTTTTCACATTTCCAACTTCTCCATGTGTCCAAAATGAATCCTTGGCTTTATATGATATATCGAAATACAGAGTAAGGTCAGAGGAGAACTCACCAGTTTCCAGGCATGATTATTTGTTGTGCAAGGAAAGTGCATTCTGTCTCTCTCATGAGATTCTCCTTTACAAGCTCTGTGAGATGTACTTAATAATCTGAGGAAAGGTTCTCCTTTCTCACTTGGTCACTCATTTTTTGTGGAGTCCGAAGTGTATTACGCGACAACTGAGGAGTCAGAATGTGCTATATATACCATGAGGGGTGTTTAGCCATCGTCTAACCATCGGCAATGAAAACATGGCTCAGAGATCGTTCACACAATCGAAAGTAGACAGCGGTTAAACGATGTTTTCGTAGACAATGTTTAAACAATTACTATTGATAATCAATGTCTAAAAGAAACATCGTTCATGCAATTGGCCCTGGGTCTCCTGTAACTGTATGAAAGTGGATGAAGGGAATAAATTCTTGTTTTTTTTATAGGAGCCTATCAAGAAGGTTCTCTGAAGATAATCCGGAATGGGATTGGGATACAGGAGCATGCCAATGTTGATGATCTGCCTGGTATCAAGGGGATGTGGCCATTGCGTGTTGCCACACAAGAAACCTTTGACAACATGCTTGTCCTTTCCTTTGTTGGGCAGACTCGGTCAGTGAGTTTTCCTTTGTTGAATTCTTGAAATTGAAGCAAAAGTATTCAAGACAGAGGCCATTTATTTGACATGCTTTGATAATCTATCAAGTTGGTTGTTGGAAATTTACCTTTTATGCTAAAATGTTCTTCTAAAGCATATTCTGTCTCTGTGCCAGTTGAAGTTCCATGACTTGTGTGGCTTCCTTGCACAGCCCAAGATCTGCCCATTATATCACAATTGATTTCCATTTGTTAAATATTGTCATTGCAAGAGTCCTGATGTTTTGAGCATTTAGAATAAACCTACTAAGTTTGGTTTTTATTAGGTGAATTATAATAAAGTATTTTCTTGAAATATGAGATGTGAAAGCATCCCTGGTACTCACATTTCATGAATTCAATCCTTACAGTGTACTTGAGATTTGTGGTGAAGAACTTGAAGAGACAGACTTGCCAGGCTTTGTTGCAGAACATCAAACGATCTGGAGTGCCAATGTCCACCACCAGCAGATTATGCAGGTTAGTCACACTGCCAACAAATTATGCTGGTTAATCGCCTGAAGACTGTATACTCCTTGGGGAATTTGACAAGAAATCAATGGGAGTCCAATCATAGAGTTTCTAGAAAAAGCCCAAGTGCATGGAATAATTTTATGGACTCCAGCAATGTGTTCTCACTCTCACACAAAGTTGAAATTACCATAACTGTGGATATAGGTCACACATGAGTTAAGTTGCTCCTGAGCTTAGTAGCATAAGGTACCAATGAAATCCAGCAAGTCCCCTCCTATTTGAAACCATTATAATGTTTAACATGGCTTTTCCATCTTGACCTTGAAAATTGTGGAAACATTTTGCCTGCAGAGATTTATAACCATGGGTCTGAGCCTAAGTCAAGGGATGTCAGGTCAGTGTAAGTTAAATCTATCAGATACTTGTCACTCACTATCAAAGATAACTCAATAGCCTGACATGAATCATTATTTCAAAGATGTCATAATCTCTTTTAGAGTATGTCCCTTGAATGACTGCACCTTTCCATTGAACTATTATTGGAATGAATCCTGCCATGTCTAAAGCTCTTGTGTGCTATCAATGGTGATTGTGCCTTCATCAGGGAATGATAGCCTTCAACCTGTCAAGTTTTTCTTGATGTTTTTAAGATAAAAATGTTGCAGGGGACATGAGCTGGGCCATAAAGGTTGCTTCACTAGCTGGAATCCTTACTTGACCATGAAGTTCATAATTCTGGCAGTAGTATGGGCAGATGCATTGTTGTGATGAGAAGTGCCCCCCCTGAAGCCTGTTTTTGGATGTGTGACATAGATCTCTTTTATGGTCTCAGTAAGGCAAACTTTTCAGCACCACTTGGCACTGACAGTACTCTGCCCCTTAAGGAATTGCTGTTGCTGCAGGGTTGGAAACACTGAAGAAGGAGACCATCATCTTGTCTGTGGTGGAAACACTTGTGATCTTTTTTGGCCATCAGAGAAGACCCACACTGTAGATAGTCAGAGCCAAACTAATATATCCTTAATGCAACCCTAGTGATGATGTAGAAACAGATAATCCTTTTTCACCATGAACCTTGACCAATCAACCCAATCTTGCTTCTGGGCATCTGTCAGTTAGTGAAGCACCCAATGTTTTTCAATTTTATTTACTCCAAGCGCTTGATAGAGATTGATGTTGACAGCCCATGATCCAATACCTAATGTCTGCAGGATATCATTGTGGTGGCATTGTGAGTCTTCCTCGAGTATTTGTTTAACCCTTTTGCAGACAGAGTCCACACTTGAGGAAAAAGGATGATAGGATGACAGGAAAATTGCCTGTGAGAGGGTTAATATGGCCCACTGAGTTGCAGATGTCAATCTTATTTTCCATTGATATTCCTCATTACAGTACATAATTTACCATATGTATTTTCTTTTTAATTATGCTTATGTAAGGTCTCTGTAACTTCTTAGGTGACTTCTCAGTCAGCAAGGTTGGTGGATGCACAAACAAAGCAGCTCACTGATGAATGGATACCTCCAGGGGGGAAAACCATCACAGTCGTGTCTGGGAACACCAAACAAGTCCTTTGTGCATGTGGGACAGACCTCTTCTACTTGGAAATTACAAAAGGCAAATTGATTCAGAAAGGGTAAGATTTAAAAAAAATCTGATGTTGTGTCAGTTCTGACCTAGGCAGATCACTTGGCTCATTGGATTGGATCATTGATACAAAACACTAATTGGAGGATGGAGGTTGACTAATAGCATTTTGAAAGCTGAGATTTTTGGATTGAAGGAGGCATCTACCTCTTTATTGTTACTTTGTGAACAATTAGTCTCTGATCATGGAATCATCATGGAAAGAACCCCTAAATGAAGAGTGTGGCATCAGTCTCCAATAGCTGTTTTGCAATTCTTGGACACAGAGGTCCTGAAAGTTTTCAACTGTAGCAGATATTGTTTCAAGAAGGTCCATCATAGGCAAACTTGTCCCAAGGGGAATTCTATCTGCAAAGTGCCAATTGATGGTGATGCTGAAGGCAAATGAAATTGAAGCAGTTGAAAGAGTGTGCTTATCCATCAACATTTGGGGTTGATATTCTCCCCAAGAACAATCTCTGCTTCCTGAATGCTGACAATGGTTCATTCTTTTCATCTTTTCTGCTTTCCCTTGACTGTTTCATTCCAAAGTGAAGGCCTGGATTCTACCATTCCTGTCTGCCCTGGACAGGTTCTTTTTTGAACTCAATAATACCCTTGTTTCCTCCAATGATCTTGCCAATTATCTGTATGAAAACTTTAAAGTAGTTAAGATATCGTTTTTGATACCAAGCTGGATATCAATTTGTTGACTGGTCAAACTGCAATTTCATCTATTTTGTGAAAGATAGAAAGATTTATATACCTATCTTCTGCACTATTGGCAATAATCCCTACAATTGTGATTCCTGGGCCATCATGAGTGCCAGGACAGTTGTTGAGTTGGCAATTTTTTCCATGCAATATTTTTTCTTCATATTTCTGCTTCAATCTTGGACAATAAAAACCTTTGGAGAGGGGTGGAACATCCAAATGTCATGGGAGCAAGATTTGTTGGGATATTACCCATCAAAAGTTTATTTGTGAGCCATTTGAAGCACTAAAGCTTTTGCTGATACTTCAGGCAATAAATTTTTTTTTTTTACCTTTGTTTGCTCTACAATATGTTTGTTGAGAAGAGATTGCACTTGCATAGAAGCAGAAAAATTTGTGTAGAAAAAAGCCCTTACTTTTCTGTTTACCTTCAGATATTGAAATTCCAATGTTGGTACTGACTCATGGTATTAAATTTTTAAATATTCTTTCTCATATGCTTTTGAAAAAGAAATGTAGCTTTCTTCAATTTCCCTATAGGTCCATGTTAGGGGAAACAGAGATAGCTTGTGCTGACATCTCTCCTGTCATCCCAGAAACAACAGTGGCACAGGTAGCAGCAATTGGACTCTGGGATCTCAGTCTCAAGATACTTCAGATACCTGAGTTGTCAGAGAAGCACCGAGAGGAGTTAGGTGGAGGTAAGTGATGTTTTTACCCTTAACAAAGCAAAATGTAGGTCCTTCAAAATGTTATCTATGCATCTGCATTTATCTTTGGATTTTTTTTCCTCAGTTGAGGAATTGATATCTCCTGATTCCCAAACAGTTAAAAATTTCCACAGCAAAAACTAGCCAGTGCTTGTTTTTTTGTTTACATAAAGTTGAGTCAAATGAAACCTGGAGTATTAATTGGAAATGCAAAGCTTAAATTGCATCTTACCTTGACCACTTTATTCTGGAAACTCTCCACAATCTCAAAGTAGTGGTCCATGGCAATAATATTGATAGGTAAAACTTGTTTTAAAAGCTCAAAGTTTTTCTACTTCCTTGGGGTAGAAACTTTTATATCCTCCCTTGTACTTCTCAGAATAGGGTACCCATAATGTCCCTATCTATTTTCATGAAAAACTATATATGTCTTTCAATTTTCAACTCAATAGAGCAGTTCTGCAATAGTGGAAAGGTGGACAAATAACTGAATAACACATCAAGCTGCCAATGCCAGAGAGGATAAAATTTGGTTTCTTGATAGGCTGAGGTTGGGACAGACTATGAGCACCACACTTGCTGGAACTGACACCAATGATCTTTTTGTAGGGATTAATAGAGTTGCAAGTTTAGAGAATAAATATTAGCCTTTTGCTGGATCTTACTACTTGAATTTATGCAGCAGTTGAATCCATAACACCAGTGATGTATCACAATGTGTTCAAGGCTACCATCAACCAGTGGCAAGAATGCTGAGATATGAATGGTGGACATGTGGAGATGAGCTATTGCTTCATGATGAAACAATGCTTAAGTGATTTAAGTTTATCCATTATAATAATTGAACTTGAAATATAGAGGAAATTCATTGTTTTTCTTGAAAATAGATTGACTTTATGGACATTCTGTATTTTGCCCTATGTTACACCCAGGAAATGGGAAATTCTCTTGGGCACTTGATAGTAAATATTGCAAGAGTATGAGGAGTTCTGGAATTTGTATTCATTTTTTCTAAATATTCCATCCCCACGTTGCTCCTCCCCAAAGAACAACCATCACCTTGAAATTCAGGAAAGGATTTGTCACAGAAAATGAAACTTTATAGTTTAATGAAGGAGGAGTCAAGGAAGCTTATAAATCTTGATAATTGTCCAAGGATTTAACGTTTGCTGTCACACTCATGATATGGATGTGGTTCTCTTCAGTGGATGACAACCTTTTGTTTAAGCATGAATTTGGGACCAAATTCAATTCCTATCATGACAATTATGCCAAAGTTAGATTTTAGTGTCATTGGCATGAAGGTTACAGATGCTATTGATGATCAGAATGAGTATTGATTTCGTTCTGTTCACCTTAACTAGGAGCATAGGAATGACATGGTGTGTTGACTTTCTAGAAAGTTCATGGCTTCATCTGTTCTTGTTCTTAGATAAGGTTTGCTGCTTTGCCAGCAGATCTCTATGATTGATCAATCTCTATAAGAAAATAACCAAGGTACTCATGTTCTGTTTCCTTCTCCCACCCCCAGAAACTATCCCTAGGTCTATCCTCATGATTTCCTTTGAGGGAAGCTTCTACCTGCTTTGTACTCTTGGAGATGGAGTTCTCTGCTACTATGTCTTCAACCCGCAACTTGGCCTCCTCGGAGACAAGAAGAAGGTAGGATCCACTATAAATGCTTCCAGCTTTCATGACTACTGTGTGATAGATGGTTATTGAGTATCAACTGGGGGGTGACCCATGTTCATTCCAGATTCGAGCACATTCCTTGAAGTAACCTCAAATCTCTCCTGGAATATGTATTTTTTCACTTACACAGGTTTTTTTTGCTATAGTTCTCACTATTTAGTTGCACTAGACTTGAGATCACCCATTCATTCTTCAGGTAGGTGAAATGACTAAGGAAGAGACACAAACTTTGTGGTTGTGGAATAATGAAACCATCTTTGTTTCATGTGTCACTGTTCTTACCAGCATCATCAAAGCCATTAAAATGAATTGACAAGGCAGGTATTCAGTCATTTAATGCTGCAGGAGAAAAGCCTGCTTTCATACACATGAAACTTTCAAATACCTTACATGAAATATAGTGGCATGTGTGGGATTGCAGTGAGCTGGGCTCAGTGTAGAAGCAAACTTGCAAAACGAAGGAAAGAGGATTGAAGAGTTAAAGGGGGAAGGCTGACATCCCCCACAGTCCCCCTCCCCTTCCCATCTTGTGTGCACCACTGGAAATAACCAATACTGGTGTGGAAATTCACCACTAGTACACTTCTCTGTTCAGTTTATTTCTTCCAGATTTGACACCAGCTCAAAGGGCCTCTAATTTTTAAAAATTCACTTTAAAATTCACAAACGCTCTAGTTTGAAAGTGACTCTCATGTGCTGGCTTCATCATTCTCCATTTCTGCTGTATTCCTCAGTCAGGAAATTGTTTGTGGTGGCTTCTGCTGCTCATTATTCTGTTGGTTTGTTTGGTTTCTTTTTTCAAATTCCTGGATTAACTTTAAATGTTGTAGGAGTGGAATGAAACATGAGTGTATGTGACTAGGCATGAATCTTCTTTACCTCAATAGTTACACAAATCAGACACTAATATCTCATGGCAATTGATCTCTTGACAATTACCATGTATATTGATGTAAAACTGAGTCAATGGAATTATATAGCAAAGAAGTGGATAGATACAAATATGTAAGGAAATCAGGAGAGAAGGAAGTCATGCGAGAAGGAAATCATGCAGTCTTGTGTTTCAATGCAAATCCAGTGACATACAAATACTAGTGTCCAAAGAAATGTTAGAAGGTAATGTAGGGGTTGCCCATTTAGTAGGAGTTGTTATGGCATTGTCTTTCCATTGTTGAACAAGCCAACTCAGCCTGAACATTATTAGCCTGTATTAGTCAGCCTTTGAGCACTGTGCATGTGCCATGTCAGGAATATACCTATTTAGGCTTTCTCCATGCCATATGCAGAGTCCAGATTTCAATATGTAAAAAATGGGTGGAATCCACTGTGCATGTCATACCATATCTGAAAAACATTGAAGATATGCAAAGGTTAATGGAGGGAGAAAGGGTGACAAGGTGATGAGATGCAAGAGACAAGGTGATAAGAATGCCCCAAGAGGATGTAATTGAATTAGTACTTCATCCAAACTGGCCCAACACTTGACCATGATAATTGCTACCTTCCCAAGGCCAACTGTTCAGCCAGTTTGGATGAAGTGCTACAATCTGATATAGGTTACATGAGCACGTCTGAATTGCCACATGATTTCCTGTTGTGTTAGACCCTCTTAGCCTTGGGATATGAGTCACTGAAAGTTTGTTGCTACTACTCCAAATGTATAGCCTTAAAGTCTTGATAATTTGATCACCTAACTATCACATTCCATCTGGGCCAGCTGCCACTTTTCATGACTGTACCTCAAGAAGTTGAAGAGTTGTGTTAGTTTTCCTGTTGCAGCTTTTGCATCTATAAGGTTTGAAGATGGAGCCCACTAGTGAAGGTTTCAGATGTATGATCCCTTCATGACCTCCAAGCCAGGCTGGATTTGAAACAATCTCATGAGTGCCTGGTGGAGGCATGTGGTGACAAAGCTCCTAACATTTCTACAGTTTGTAAGTGGTTTTGTGAATTCAAATGGGGCCAAGCTTCCATTGAAGATGATCACTGACCTCCAACTGCAGTCATGCAAGAAAACATTGGGTTGATCAAGTAAATGGTTGCTGAAGACCCCTAACTTACTTATGTACAGATTGAAAATCATTTCAGCATTGGTTCCTCTGCTATTTCTGACATTCTGCATGGACATTTGGGGCTTTGCAAGGTTATTTCCTGTTGGATACTCCACACCCTAACAGACTTCCAAAGAGAGGACAGTTTGAAATGTTATGACATGCTCAAAAAATTCAACCAAAGATGATCAAAACTTGTGTTTGATCTTGTCACTGGAGATGAAACTTGGATTTATGAATTTGATCCAGAAACAAAATGCCAGAGCACAATTTGGATATTTCCTAGTGAGCAGCCACCCACCAAAGTCCATTGGCCTGGCAGTGTTGGGAAGGAAATGGTGGCCACCTTCTTCTCCCATTTTGGTCATATGAATACCATTACCCTTCAAGAGCGTGCCGCTGTAAATGGTGAATGGTACACAACTACCTGCTTACCTGCAGTCTTTGAAGCTGTCCAACATCAATGCCCAAAACTGGGACTTAGGGGCTTGCTGTTGTACCACAACCATGCTCCAGTACTTACAGCACAGAAAAATTTGGACTGCCTGGCTGGTCAACATGTTCAAACATGGCCACATCCTCCTTATTCGCTTGATTTGGCCCCTCATGACTTTTCTTGTTTCCCATGGGCAAAGAAAAACTCTGTGGTCAATGATTTGAGAGCTCTGAAGATGCTGTGGTTGCTTACCAGTATACATTGGTTGAACTTGTTGAAGAGGATTGGTACAGCTGCTCTGATTCTTGGTTTCAGCAAATGCATATGTACAGATATACTGATGGTGCTTATTTTGAGAAGCAGTAAAAATTTCAAGCTGAAGTCTTCTCTAATAAGAAGGGAGCAGCTACAAACTTTCAGAGTGACCCTCGTTTTCTGATGTTTTTCAGAGACTGTATCACATGAACAGTGGAATTGACTCATTCTTTACCTATTGAAATCTGGACTGGCATATGGTATAGTGAAAGCCTAAATAGGCATATTCCTGACATGGCACATGCACAGTGCTCTAAGGTTGGCAAATACATGCTAATAATTTTCAGGGAGTGTTGACTTGTTCAGCAAAGATAGATATAATGGCATCACAACTCATACTATACAGGCAAGCCTTACATTACCTTCTAAAATTTCTTTTGGATGCTAGTATATAGAGTGATGTATATAGAGTATAGAGAGAGAGATAGTATATAGAGTGAGTGAGAAAAAAAGCCTTACCATTTTCTATGGGAGAAGGTAAGATTTGGATATTCAAGCAAAAGTTGGGTAATTATAAGTCATCATCCTTTTTTTTTTTTTACTATAGGGTAATTTGGGGGAATATGGCCCTACAAAATGAAACCTGGTCATCATGGCCCATCAAGGTTGAATTTGACTTTTACAATGTTTCTAAANATAGATTAAAGTGACTATGCACTACGAGTGTAAAATAAGAGGTCTTACATTGCAGGAGAAATGTTGCATTGTTTTTGCATGTATGGATAAATGGTGCCAAAAATCACAGAATGCCATATTTGTACGAGGGATATTTACTTGCATTCAAGTTTTGTGCAACAATAATTTCTGGAGAATGTCAAGCAATGCAGAAGGAGGTGCATAAGCATACCCTCATGCACGACCTCCTCATGTACTGCATATTTCGTCCAGATGTCCAGTACGTCAATCCATATATCCAGAGGAAGTGCATTGAATGATCTCTTGCAGCCTGAGATCCCACACGAAAGGAAGCTGACACTATCAGTAGGTCTGTGTGGTGCTAGCATGAAACGAAGGATGTGTCCATATTACCCCAAATCGAGATGGCCATATTTCCCCATATTGACTCGCATTACAAAATTGACAGCACTGCCTACAAACCACAAGTGAAGGGGCTAGCACTTTGCACAAGCATTCTGGAGGGACCATAGAAGAACTTAGAAGTAATGATTTCTGTATCCATGCTGCTATTAGGAAATATATGCTTATGTTGCTCAAGGCTCATATTAGTTTCAAGGTCATGAGTCAAAGAATCGCATGCATATGACTTTCAAGACATCGAAGTATCCCGAATTCCAGTGAGAACTGGATCGATGAACAGGTCTAAACATTTCGACAATTGCATGTACACTTCGATAGAACTATTTTTTAAATTCGCTGAAACTAATTATTCAGTTGATAAGGGGATTCCTTGTGAAGGGCCATATTACCCCAATGGCCATATTCCCCCAAGTTACCCTATCTTTTGAAAGGGTTTTCAGATGCAACTGATATTTGATGCAAAGGCCCATGGGCCTATAAGGTTTTTTTTCCTACCTAAAAAATGCCATAGAACACTGTGGTCAGTTACAGTGCTCTCTATTGGCATGCAGCTCATCTTGCAGGATATGAAGAAACCTCTTAGACTCATTAACCTCTCTGTCAAGTATCAGCTGCATCCAACTGTCCCTCAAAAAGTTCTGGCTAATTGAATTAAGATGGTGACTTTATAATAACCATGTAGCAAGGAAGTTAGCAGCTGGAGGTTGTGGGCCATATGCTCCCATGACCAAATTGAAAATAATTTTTCTTGGTAGTATGAAGATGTGCATAAGTACAGATCTATGTTTTTCGTCTGTTGGCTATTCTCAAAATAATCAGACTGTTTGCCAAATTTAATTGAATTCTGAGATGGTCAAGCACAGGTCATTGCCTCACTTAAGGTGAAATGATCTACCACCTAACAGTGTAATGGGACATTGCACAATTTAGGCAGGGGTGCTATTAAAAAAAACTGACATGCATCTCAACATCTTTTAACCATCCGATGTCAATCACATTGCCATTGTATATATATATATATTTGTGAGAAAATCATGCCGATCAAGCCAAACCTACAGCCAGTACGAGTCTGAACTATTGAGAGAAAATAGAAGAGAATACTAAAAAAGCGAAGGATAGCTAAGGAAGCCTAATGGACTGGCAAGTCGTAGGAGTCTCGTCAGGGGCACGATCCTACCAAACAACTTGCA